TGTTAGCCATGAATTAATGCCTTGCACTGAGATGAAACTAATGGCTCATCGTTGCAGCTGGTTTTCTTTTTAATCTCATAACTATGCAGAAGGGGTAACTGATAAAAACGTTATCATGTATTTAATGCCAGGGCAATACTAGCCAGGTTATCATAAGAAAGACTTTTAGGATGTAAGTTAAGTAGGGATAAGCATGCGGAGTGATTAATACAGCAATCAGAAGAGCTCAGACCAATAAAATTCAGATGAAAAAAGATGTGAGCCTGATTCTCCACAGTCTAGCATTTTTTATCTGTGTGAAATGGTAGCAAAGTAAATGGAGAATTCTGATCTGGCAAGATTCTGCTCTTGGCTTGTACTCAGATGTGAATGACATAAATGATGGCGTCAGATACAAGCCTTTCTATCTTTAAGTACGGAAAGTAAATAAGCAATTGCAGAATGACTTGTTTATGTCTTGCAAATAAGCATGTTTACTGAGGGGTATTTTGTATTAATTACACTATTTTCTATTCTGTCAGCATTAGCATTCCAACAAGATGAAGACCTCTTTATGCTGCAAAGTGTATGCAGATATTTTGGCACCTGCATCACGGTGCCTGGTATCTGATACAAGGTTATCTGATGATTTTAAAATAGTTTCACTGAGTGAGCAACAGCTTCTCTGAAACATAAGCCTACTCATGTTGACCTCTCAGCTAGGTACGGTTAGCTGCTGGCTTTATGGGGCATTGGCATGTTTTGCTGTTGGCATTTACCATACATTTTATGATCCTGTGCAAAGCTGTTTCCCTATACGTGGAAGTCCCTAGGAAACAAAAATGCACAACAGCTTGCAGAACCTTGCCTGTAATCTTTGCTTCACGATGAGACCTACCAACGATAATCGGGCAAAATGAAAGCAACACGTGTCATATCAGCTCCAAATAAATATCCTGTCTCCTCTACAGCAGCCGTATTGAAAGAGATCTGACATAATGGTGTTATATCAGCAGAGCTACTAATCTCGGATACTGGTGATTTCAGTTCAGGAGAGGACGCTGCAGCAAATGGAGGTCATTCAATATCCTCTAGCACTTTGGGCAAACGTGACATTTTGGACTGTCCCTACCAATGGCAGAATACAGAGCTGATGCTAAAAACTGCTGTTGCAGAGCTACTTGTGCAGGTAATCTGCTCCTAACAGCAAAGTGTCTGTTCAGATGGGTCTGTTTATTTTGATGTCTTGCAGAAACAACGTTTCTTGGAAGGAAAAGGCATCCTTTAGGTTTTAGCGGCAAAAGCAGAAGTCTCTGATGTATCAGAAATGAAATTTTTTTTTTTAGACGTTTAACCCCCTTTAGGAATACAGAATTGCTTTCTAGACCTTTTGTCTCCTCAGTATCATGACAAAAAAAAGCTCATGCCAAAAAAAAAAGGAGCTGCCAGGGGTGCCCTGGTAGGAGCATAGGAGTATCAGAACCTACGCAGCAAACATGCATGTCTCTTTTTTTATGGTCCTCAGGTGGGAGAATTGCAATGAGAGGTACAATAGTTTCACTGAAATAAGAAGGATGCTGAGAGACTTTTGCTATTTTCAGTGTCATGAGGTGGCACATACGAAGAATCCTTTTCCTTGGCAGGAGTTCCTGAGCCATAAGGTTGAACCTGTTTACCCAGGCACAGTGCCATTCTATCAGATGGGCATTGATACACTGAGTGTAGAGACCTTGTGTGGTATGTGCATCAGGTGGAAGAGTCCCAGATAGGATTCCCAGCAAGGATTGTCCATATGTCTGCGCGTTCTAATTTTATATTCCCTTGTTCCATTACTAATCCAGGTATGGGTCTGATTATGTTTCAAAAATAGAGAACAGCTTTTTTCTCTTTTAATAATACCTCTTGCCCACTTGCATAACACAGGTTGGAGTAATGGCTTAGGAGAAGTTTTTGGAAGACAAACTTTCCTCCCTGGCCTTGCCAGACCCCCTCCTGCATTCAGAGAAGAGGAAGCTTCATAAATCTTTCTCCTTTCTAAGCAAAGTCCCTGTAGGATCCATCAGAGTAAATCTTTGGCACCAAGCTAAATTTCGTATGCACAGCAGAGTAGAAAGCCGTGTTCAGTCACTCTCTGCACTATTTTGCCGGATGTTTTGCCTGAACTGGTATAAAACATTGAGGTTTCAGGGTTCAAGGAAGAGCATGGCACTGGGGATTGTCTCCCTAGATGCTCTCTCACAACAGTCACCTGCCTTGCCTCTTGATTCTCTCAGTGGCCTCAGTTTTCTGTAAATCAGCAGTACTCCCAGCATTGCTCTTGCTCTATCTTAGATATTTTATATGTCTATGGTACAACATCTTATTTTGCTTATTGTACTCCTTTTTATGCATTTCATTTTCAAGTGTATTGAAGAGATAAGTATTTGGTATCTGTGGAATGTGCAGAGTGATGCTAGGTCATGCTCTTCTCTGGTAGCTGAAGCAATTGCACAGGCATCCAATCATTTAGTACAAAGCTTTGATAATCTAATTTTCTTGCTAATCTCATGCAGTCTGTTCCATACTAATGCAGCAGATTCGAAAAAATATGACAAAAGTCGTAGTTTTCCTGATACTCCTTTTGGAATTAGCTTTGCTAAGTGTTGGGGCAACACAGTGAAGCAGAGCTGCAGACCCAGAGTCTTCTGGGTTTGGTTTAATTTAAACTCTGAATAATGGATTATATTCTTCTTCTGGACCTGGCATGTATCATTTAGATAGGCCACAGAGCTGGCAAAAGCAATACATTTTTTGATTGTACATGTTTCTATGAATGCTGACAGTTGCATTTGAAAATACCCATCCTCCCTGAAGTCTTCTTAACTTGCCCTGTATCTACATACAGACTTTTTTCACCCACTTTTGAAATGCAGCTGCCTCGGGTTGGCTGGACCAGCTGTAGCTGTGTATCTTACTGCAAGATGCACTTTAATACAGTGTCATTTTCTAGGAAATTTTCAGTAGAAGAATGATTGCTGTGCTTTGTTGGGACTCACTTGTTAGTATCCTCTCCTATTGCTGAAGCGTCCTGAAATCTTTAAGGACCTCTCTTGCAGAGCATAGCAACCTGCATAAACCAGTGCTGAGATCCAACAAAATCGCAGTTCAGACTGGGTATATATGAATATTTTGCTGCTTGGATATTTTGATTGTGGGTTGGGGTTTACCATTTTCCAAATGTTTGTATAGTGCAGTCCAGCACAACAAAGCCCAGCACACTTTGAGTTCTCTAGGCAATGATATAAAAGCTGAAATAATGAAGGTAATGTCATCTGCAAACTGGAGAGTACACAGTGGAATAGTCCTTTTGGTTTAACGTGTCACCATTCAATTAATAGAACGAGCAAGCACCAGTACTGCAGGGAGAAATCTGAATCCCCACATACCCCATTCCACTAGTGTGTCTGGATTTTTGGTAAAGAAGAGTGTTGGTCCTTCTGTCAGTATGTTTAATTAACTTCAGCTCTACTTTTGTTTCTGCAATTTACAGTCAGTTAAATCATAAATACTGTTTTGTATCTGATAGAACAGTATGTAATGGTCCTCATCTTGTATTCGTTTTAGTCTGAATGTCACATCCTCATTGTAATTTTTAATGACAACAACAATTTTTATTATGTTGCTGGAACTTTTCCCGGGGTAATTGTGTCTTTTGTATATAATATGTGATCTAGAAATGGAACTGCAGCAGAAAGCTGCTAAATCCAGCATCTTCTGTAGCTGCATATTTATGTTAAAGAAATTCTAGGAGCTAGCCTGAGAGATTGAAAGTAACTTACAAAAGAAAACCAACCCAAAATTTAAGTTAGGGACACACAAGGTAGCTGAGTTTTTTGTAGCTCAGTGAAAGGGAGTTGCTCTAAATACAAAAATATCAAGCAAAATACAAGTGAAGGCAGAACATACTTGCATATCAGCTCTGATCTGCTATGTTGTGGAAATTAGTTGCACATTTGTCTTGCTGTGTGTCCGTATGCCCTTTGAAAGTATTTCCAAGTAACAAAGGTTGTACATTTTGACCACAAAATTTGCTCTGGTCCTGATTTCCTTCAAGACAAAGAGAAGTAATGACCTTATGAGTAGCAAACTGACTGATCAAGACCTTTCTGCTCTTGGCTTTTCAGGAATTTAGAGAAGGCGTTTGAGCAACAGTTTCATCAGGGGCAAACCTTATCCAAAGCGTAGACTTTTATTGTTACAGCCTTCAGAACATTGGTCAAAGAAACCTTTCATTGTGTAACTGCACAGTGCTATCATGTATCTGTAATAGGGTTGCATGTCACAGAGGCGTAACAGAAGGAAGTATCTTGCCTCGCTACTGGGATGACTGTGATGGGGGATAAGTAACGGGTGCTACATTGCAGACAGAGGAGATAGCAGGAAAAACATATATTCCCGCCTCAGAATTATAGCGTAAGCCAGTATTTGTGAAGATATGGGCTATGCATTTCTGTTCTGCTTTTGGAACTCAGAGCACATAGGATGAGAGGAGAAGCAGTTACAGGCACAGCTATTGCCTGTGGTTTGCTCTGTCACTTCTTCCCATTCAAAGTGAGCGATTATTGGAGAATTTGGGAAAGAAAGGGGAGAAACTGCAATGAAACTTGCAACTGGAAATGAGTCCACCAACTTGGACTCAGATATTGACTACTGCATATTAGCGCACTCTTTTTCTCAGCATTTTTATCCTATATTGAATTTATGGGTGGCACAGAAACCATCAATAGTGCTATAGATCCTCATTTTCTACCTGAACAGTTCTTCAGAAGCTGAGTATGTTTTACTGTAAGAGAAACAAGGACAAGGCACTCAGATACAGGTGCGTAGCATAATGCAATAAATTGAATAAACATCACTTCGGAATTGAGGAGTGTCTCTTCCGTAGAAGATGATACCCTGTTTAGAGTTTCCAAAGTTTATGCAATTAAATATTTCCTATGCTTTGCCTTAATTTTATGGTTTCTTTGATTATTTCTTTCTAGCTCAACAAAATTCTCCAAAAATACATGAAGGCTGGTGGGCTTATAAGGAGGTGGTCCAGGGAAGCTTTGTTCCAGGTAAGTGTAATTTTAAAATCTCAGTTTTTATTAAATCTTTTTTCACTGGAATTAATATAATTGGGTTTGGGGGAGATTTTTTTTGGTGGGGGGGTTATGCATTGCAAAGATTTAAGTACACAAGTACTCAACATCACATTATAGTGAAGCATAGAAATGTTTTTGTCAATACATCATCGAAAGACCATGACTGTTTTCTGGGAAAGAAATTGCTTTGGTGACATTCCTGGTTTCTCTCAGTAAAACTGACATGACAGTACTTTGTGAACACGTGTGTTCTGTGTATAGAAAAGAGAAAGGGAGGATTGAAAAGCAGTGTTGTTAACTGGATGAATTTACTTATCTGATGCAGCACTTCTAGATAATCCCATTTCTACAAATTTAAAAGAGTATGTGAAGAAAGGAGCTTACTTGAAACATGAACCTGGCATGGAAGTGTCACTGATTTTTGTTTTGGAAACAAGGAACAGTGAGTGAAAAAAGTTGAAATCCTAACTTGCCTTCAATGAGATTTAGTAAACGGTAAGTAATCAGTAGCAGGACAGTGAGTGAAAAAAGTTGAAATCCTAACTTGGCTTCAGTGAGATTTAGTAAACGGTAAGTAATCAGTAGTAGGGTCTAAATAAGCAACACCAGCTGAATTTGGTAGGCAAAAGTGAAAATCGGGCTAGCAATGTCCTGGCATTGGTCGGAATTGCTAGAACTCCTCCAAAACATGTGTATTGGTTGATCAGTGCTATATACTCCTTAAGTGTCGTGTGGTCTGAGTAGGCCTTAGCTTGTTCTTTTTAGCTCTGAATCTCTTGAACACATTTCAGGATTCAAGCTGCCTGAAACACTAGTAGTTCTTAGACTGACAATTTTTTATTTCGTTTTTGACCTGCATTTGACACCTGATCTTTTTGTGCTCCCTTTCTGCAAATTATTTTATTCTTTCTTTCAAGCATAATTACTTTGTTGGGTCTTCACTGTTCCATTTGACTAGATGTTTCCACTTAGGAGTCAGGAAAGTTTAGCAATCTCCCATTTTCTGTTCAGTCGTGGAGCTGATTTGACAGTACGTTTCTCATTCAGTGTACACAGAAACATTCAGTGATTATTTTGTCCAGTATGTTTTCAGTGCAATTGAGATGAATATGCATTAATTTATGTATATTAGCTATATATTGTAAGTTAAAATAGTGCTTCAAGTTCTTTCATGAATGCACCATGAAAATTGCTACATGATCTAGAAAATATTACATGGCCATTGTGTGAGCTATTCCTAAGAATCTGTAGATTTGATCTATCATGAGATATATTCACTATTATGACAACAGTTACAATCTGACAATCATTTGAAATATCCAAAATACTGATTATCTTGGTAGAAATACTAGTGAAAATGAGAAATATTTCAACACGAAAGTTTCTGGCATTGAAAGTCTTGTGAAAAGCACATCTGAAAATCAACATGTACAAGCCTGGAGATTAATTACATATTGATGTAGCATAAAGTAGCTTTTCAGATTTATTTGAGATTGGTTTGGGCTGTCAAAGACCCTGCAGTGTATTGTTATACATGTTTAGTTCCTAATGTTGATAGTGGGGGAAGAGACCTTGAGAACATTATCACCTGCTTTCAAGAAATTTCAGTCTTCCTGATTTGCACGACTGAGGTGAATGCCCAGTAGAAGGTGAAAGAAAGAAATATTTGCTTAACAGACCTTCTGATTAGTTCAGCTTAAAGCTATCGAGAAAAATAATTTAGTTGTCAGCATGTAAAGACACATATGTGATCAGGTAATACTTGTGGTATTCCGGTCTTAATACCATGAGAAATTTGTGCTTGGGAGCATCCTTAGAAGATTAAGGAGGAAACAGTCATGACTCATACTTTGAAGAAGGAAGACCTTTTAGACTAGTGTGGAGAGACACCTCCTTCCTGAGAGACCCCTGAATTACCCATACACATTGAGTATTGGACTAACCTAGTGCACATCCTGAAGAATTGGTCCAGAAAGACAATTATGAACAGCTCACTGAAGCAGCCATGAAGAAAGTAAGGGTGGTTTGGGGGCACATTTCTTGCAGGCTGTCACGTTTCTTTGAAATTCAACTCTGCAACCTTTAAGCCTCAGCAAAAGAGAGAAATCCCATGAATTTTTACAGAACAAACAACTGATTTTTTTTTTCAGCAGCACCTAGATTTTGGAGTCTTTGAAAACCATATTTAAAGCATTTCAAGGATGCATTTTATGGTTATGATCTCAGACTAACACATCACAAAGGATATGTTAGTGCATATTAAGTTTATCCCTAATGTTAGCAGTCACATATCAGATCTTGCATGAGATGCTAATTAGCACCTGAGAGGTGATAGCTGCGAGGCAGTCTGAGGAGCTATAGCTGAAGTTGCTGACTGATGTGCACTGAAGCAAACAGCTATAGCCATCTGCTAAGATGTTTCCTTTCCACAGCTGTTTGTCCTGTCCCAGGGCTGTAAGTTACCATCCCTAAAAATATTAGAAAGGAATATTTGTCCAAGACTGTCACTGCAGTTCAAAACTGGCATCTAAGCTCATATGATAGACATGAATACAGCTCTTGATCTGCTTGGGGGAGCAACCACAAGCATTGAGATGACTAATTGGGGTAATAGCATTGTAAAACACTCCAGGATGAGTTGCTAGAGTTTGTCTGTCACAGCTTTGGCTGTGTGAATACTTTTCGCCTACTTCAGAGCAAAGTCACTGTCTTTCTTTGAACTATCACTTCTTCTTTCATGTATAGTAGTTGTGTAAGAATGCATTTAGGAGTGTTTCGCAGTATGCCTAGGTTAAAATATACCATTCACAAGTTTTTCTGCTTAATACTCTATTTTGGATGCATTTAAGTCAAGTCCTAACGAATGCTCTGGGTCCTGTGCAAATTTGTCTTTGGGCAGTTCATAAAAGAAAACCGTACTTCACTACGTTCCCCAAATCCCAGAGTCCCTATAGTCCATGACAGATTTTAGAAAAATCATTTTAAATCCCCTTCTAATGTAATATGTTCATCTGGACACAGGTTTTTTCGACTGTAAAACAGTGGCTTACAATTATCTCACCGGTAGGAGAGGATATAGGCAGAGATGAGGTACAAGACCCACCACACAGTCTTTCCCAACTTCCCTTCTTGCACTGCTCAACAGAGAAGAGCAATGGCAACTGACAGGTTCTCTCAGTGCAGGGACTGTGGCTCAGGTCTTTCTTGGTGCCAGGCCTTGCAAGTGGGGGTGCACAGCTGTCAAGTGCAGGAAAGAAGGTGCATCAACAGCTGGATCTGTGTCGGTACTACAGATGCATAAAACACTCTCATATCTCTCACCTTTTCTAAAAGCAAAGAATCACTCTTACGGGAAAGAAGGTGCATCAACAGCTGGATCTGTGCCTGTACTACAGATGCGTAAAACACTCTCATATCTCTCACCTTTCCTAAAAGCAAAGAATCACTCTTACTATTTAAATCATGTAGGCAAACAAAACAGAAAGTAAGTAGTGCTTTAAAATGTTAATTGAATGTAAATTAGGTTCCAAATTAAACTTCAGTGGAAGTTCAAGGATGAAGAATGAATACTTTTCTTTATGCATAATGATTTGCATAATAATCAGATAATCTGTATTATTACATACTTTCGCTACATAGACTTTTTCTGGTATGGAATATCAAAGTAGTTCATGATACGTTAAAATACATTTAAATAACCTTTTTCATATCTTTTGTTTGGCTGAGTTTTGCTGTGACTATGAATGTGTTCTGTCTGTTCTGAAGTACTGCAAACATGTTCAGCATGGCAAAGGCAATAATATTTCAAACTATCCTGTACCATTTCTTTTACTTCAAGTAGATGTGCATAAACTTTGATACTCTTGTGTGTCTGATTGTATTGATTGCATTCATACTGCTCCTGTGTTTTTTCATAGCATCATAACAGTGGGCTTTGGTAAGCATCAAATATAAAGGTAGTTAAATCTAATTTGTGATCATGATATTCACTTGCCAAAACTCCATCCTGTTACTGAAGCTTTGGACTACCTGTTAATACAAGGGCGTAAGTGTTTCTTGCCCGGTGAAGGCACTGTCTTCATGACCCTTCCTGAATTATGCCGAGAATAAAGTTACTTTGCAAGGTGATAGTGCTAATCTTAGCTAAGAGGAGGAAGTCCATCTCTACCAAATGATGAGTGAACTTTGCTGAAGGAGCAGATAGTGTTCATCTCCTTCCTTATAATAAAGATTGTAAACCAACTTTAATTCCATATAAAGATCTACATCCGCTGTGATTCGTTATTTGCTACAGATCACCAAATCAAAGGGTACCCGATTCCCTGAGATTCTGAGATGAGAAATCCCCTGTTCATAGTTCCTTTCACAACTCATTTTACTATAAAAGGGAAAAAACTGTTAGAGATTGATAATGCTGCTCCTGCCTTTTGCAGAGATCATGTTGGTGGGATTGTGCCCTAACACAGACCAGCTGGCAAAGCCACACTGACTCAAAAGGAATACAGGAGGACTCTTTGTGAAACATTGAGAAACTCCTTCCAAGGAGGAAATGCTTGAATTTGGTAATGATTTACAAGGCAAAAGAAGCCTGAAACTGTTTACAGTCTTGGTCGTGAGTGCCAAAACCTGATTTTAAACTTCCTGCTATCACCATGTGCTTTTGTTAAGGCCCACACAGGCAGTTCCAGTGTCCCTAGCCTCTCCTGCGTGGGTTTTAAGATTTCTTTTTACTCCAGCTTTAAGATTTTGTTTAAACTACAAATTTCTTTATGTACATGTCCAGAAATAACCTTTGACGGGCAGGTCACTATAAAAACCATGAAGTGTTTGTCCGTGGCCTGAAACTGAGAGATAGGAAACCTCAAACCCATCTTAAACTTTCTGAAAAGCTCGTGTATTGTGCCATCCTTCAGTCTCATAGGGGTCTGTTTCATACATTGAGACTGGTGATCGCTTAGTTTGGCTGCCTGAAT